GCAATCACTAAATGAGGACTACCTATGTATGAAACTATTTTTAAAGGGCATATATTATTACTGAAGGTGTTAATATCTAGAGTTCATCTTCTTGTAAAAATCCCAGCTAGAAGTTTTAAAGGATTATGTGTTTTATTATTAAACTAATTTTAAATTAGTTTTTGGTTAAAGCTTAAGATTCAGACATCTGTAACAAAAGCTATAGTATTTCTCAAGCTCTAAAATTCCTATAAAGTTATGGTCCTCATATATTACCAAACAACTCTCAACATCCTTTTCTCTTGACCAAAATGACTGGAACTGTCAGGAGTTGTATTCAGCAGCATTTGAAAGGCACTAGGTATCTCACTTTGCTTTAAGCAATGATTTACAAGATTGACTCATCAATATTCCACATATTTCTTCCTCACTTCTTTCGGTACTTGGTTTGGTTTTAGAAAATTATATTTAAGTTTATACCCCAACCAGTAATACAATCTTGTATCTTAAAATCAAGCTCATAGTTTTTGCCAGAAGTAAGAATTTTGAATAATCAAGCTACATTATGATAAAATAATAGTATACATAAAGGCTTTTTACTAACCCTTTTTACTAGAACCCTTTTTACTAACTAAATATTAAGCAAATTAATCAAAGGTAAACCAAGTAGCATTCTACTGCATTTTTAAACTTAATCCAAGATGGCTTTTCCCCAGTCATTAAGGACAAAATCCATAATGGGAATTGTGAGCCAAGGTATTTGAGTGTATCAGGTTGCCTATTGTAGTCTAAATCATGATTTGAAAGACAGGGAATATTGACTAGGTCTACAACCACACTAAGCCATGATTTATTTTCATCATAACTTATTGAATATGCCATAATGCACAGGATCAAATAATGCTAAGCAATAATTTATAAACCATAATGACTCACTACATAATCATACCAAATCAAAATCAAACAAACCACATTATGAATTATTGGAAGGAGGAAATCCTGCCCATGATTATATTTGAATCAAGCTTATCTTCTAGCTAAGAGCATTTTAGCTAAAAAGAATAATGAACTAACAAAGTTGCTAGATGGGCAACTTTTCAGTTCTGGAAATAGAAATTTGGCATACAGCCCCCTCAAATGGACAGATGATTTCCAGTCTGATATAAATAGCATATTTCATTTTATAATAATTCAAATGCATATATAAAATAGAGATGATGGTGAAAATTATGAGATGGAAAAATATTTCATTTCATAAAACTATTGCAATAGCTTTTTAAATTATGCTTTGGGGTGGGGAAGGGTACATTATTTACAATATAGTGATACACATTGCTTCCTATCAACTTGCCTAGCTGCCGCCTACATCTAGATCCCTAAAGTAATATTTTTAGTAGAGGGATTCTACAGCAATATTGCAAAACATATGACAGAGATATTTAACCAAAATCTATACAGGCTGCAGGAATCTTTAAAAATATGAAGTATTTAAGTTTCAGCAATGTTGCTAATGTAATTCTACTTATTAGCAGAAAATATGAAAAACATTTAAATGTTACATGCAATGTACATAACCAGTCAGGAAAGTATGATGGGACAATACAGAATTACATTCATTTATCCAAATTGATGTTTATAATGAAGTTAATCAATAGCCCTGAACTATGCTAGTTTTTGTGTGTGTGTGTGTGAAATACAATTTTACTACCAAGGACATACTGTCATAATCATATATAATTCTCATACTAAATGGATATTTAAAGAGGGGTATTTTATTCTCTGTTTGGGGGATTATATTTATTTCACATAACCAGTATAATTTAACTCTGAAATTAAAATATTAAAGAAATTGTTTTATCCATTGTTATAGGCAAAATAAAGTGATGCTTTAGAAACTGAAGGCAGCTGAAAGTTCAGCAGGACTGTTTCAAAGACTTTCCCATGTGTAGACACAGCCATTTTGCTTTGTCTTTTAAGCGGTAAGAGCTGCTTCAATACTTTGTGGAGATACTTTGTCAGTGCACTTGGTGAAGCCTGCCTTCAAATGCTTTGTATAATGTCAAATATTCAATCTTCATACTACCCTTTCTACTTTAATACCACTTTTATTTCTTCCTGATATCGTATTTTTCAGTTCCACTGAAACTATGGACTCCCATGTTTTGTACCAAAATCCAATCATATTTTAAAAACACATTAAAGTTTCAAACAACAGACCACATAGCTCAGTGAACTAAATCTCATAGTTTTGTTTAATAGCAGCTGTTTCAAACATGCCCTTTTGAAACTAAAGGATATGAACTTTGTGGAAACTTCTTGGATATATATATATATTAGTTTCAAAAGGGCATGTTTGAAACAACTGCTATTAAACAAAACAACACATTTATAATACGGTCAACAATGTACAAACAAATGTATTAAGGCTTCTGACCAAGTTCACACTGTCCTTTGCTAGATGCAGGCAGGTATAATGACACATACTGATCAAATTGGCTATTAATGCTGGGTACTGATACATCTAGAAAAACATGCATGAATAGGTATATGGAGGACCAGCTAGCAGTGATTTTAATGATTGGAAAAAGGGATGTTATGACTAAAATAACTATAAGCATGCTTTGTATCTTGTATATAGTTTCCTTCCCATTTTTGGAACTGAGCAAGTATCTGGACAAAGATGGTTCAAACTGGTGTGTTTACTTAGCCCTTTCTCAGACAAAAAAAAAAAGTTTTTAAAAAAATTAATGGACATAGTTTGCAGATAAATTGAGATCAAAATTATATAGGAGAACTGTCCTAAGAATAATTAAGGTATGAATTGCAAACCTACATATCTAGAAGGCATATACTGAACATATTTAATAATTGCTTTTATAAGTGAAATAACATAGGGATTAGATTGCAGTTTTCACAAATTTCTTTATGGAAAAAGTTAAGAAATTATGTTTCTAGTCTTGAACAATCTTTGTTAAAGCAAACTTCAAAATGGCAAAAAAGGAAGTCAAGGGACATAGGTTGTCTTCTGTTAACTTAAGATGTAATAGTTTCTTCCTTGTTTACAAAGAAAAGGAATTAATAGCACTTCCTATTTACTTGATGCTGAAGGTGAAACTATTAGTGCATAAAAGAAAATAATTAAATGGTATTTTAAAAGAAAACATGAAGAAAAAGCTGTTAACTCTAGCAACAATTGTGTACACTGTTAAGGTGAAATAGTACCTATGAAGCACTGATATATTTACTTCCCATATTTATGAACCTAAATGGTTCATAACCTAATGAACTTAAATAGTTCATAAATAATCTAAATAATCCTTCTGTAAAATTTTCATTTTCTGATAGTTGAATTTATGCTATGGAAATTTTCTTATAATAATACTGGCAGTCAGTCATAATAGCCTTTAGGTTATCTTGTTTTAAGTTAAGTTTTGGGGAAAGGCTATATTATATGAAGTACAGTCATACACATTGCCTCCTATTAACTTATCTAGCTGCCACAAAAATCTAGATCCATAAAATAATTCTTTTAGGAAGAGAGGAATTATGCAGCAACAGTTTAAAAGATAAGACAGAGTTATTTAACCAATAACTACATAGGCTGCAGGAATCTTTAAAAATACCTTGAATTATCTGAGTTTCAGGAATGTTGATTATGTAAATCCGGAGAGAGCAGGACTCAACAATTCTAAAAAAATACACGCCCTTGATATCTCATAATTTGTTGCGGTGTAGTGCCTATTCTTCTTGATCATGTCCATGTAATTTGATCTAGTCCTTGTAACAAATCACTGACAGACATGCATGCAGAAGACCATTTTATACTATACTGAAACACACTGTACCAGACCAGTATCAGAAATGTGCTTCTATTATTTTTAAAATATAAAGTGCATCATTATGAAATCACAAAACTGACAGACTTTCTGTCTGGACCATACAGTTTTAAAAGAGAGGTCAGGGCTTTAACATAAAATAATTCAAGAGGTACAAATTGATTATGTCCACCCTGCCCTCCTAGAATTGTTTTTGGCCACGCTTTTTTAGTGCAAATAAGCTAGAGTATTTTTTTCTCTCTCAAGTTTAAGGGATATGGCATTTTTGGGATGCAAAGAATATTTCTTTACATCGTAACAGATCCTTCTGCAAGCTTTTAACATGTTATTGCGACCTTCCAAAGAAGTGCATGTACTGTCAGATGTAAAGAGAAACTTTTTCCCAAATGACCATTTCAACTATTACCAGTATAAATTGGATCATATGTTCCTTGGGTTTAAAGATATAAACACATCCAGTTATGTCCAATAATAAGATGACTATATATACATATATTGTATATATACAATGTATGTATGTGCATATATATACATACATACATACATACATACATATATATATATGTTTTCTTAACATATATACATACATACACATACATACATATATATATATATTCTTACGTTTTCGCGGGTACTTACATGTATGGTATTCAGCTTTGTTCGGGTATTTTCCCACGTCGTTATAGTTGTGCTTTTAAAGTTGTAGCAACGTCATCATCAGGCTTCTGTATTGTGGTCGTCTGGCAGATGAGATTCTGCCGAAATGTTGCTACAACTTTAAAAGCATAACTATAATGACATGGGAAAATACCCGAACAAAGCTGAATACCATATCTATCTATCTATCTATCTATCTATCTATCTATCTATCTATCTATCT